CCTCGAGCGAAGGAAGATCGGAAGAGTGAGTGACGATTGAATTCGCGGCCGTCGAACACCTCAAGAACCGCTCTCGTGCAGGGCCGGGGACGGCGCGTCGGGAAGACACCACCCACGTAATGCGCTCAATGAAATCTTAAGAATTATGTTGTTTACGTAAGGTGACACAGCAGGATTACCAACCACAGACTCACCGCCAAGGTCACGGCGAGTGTGGGAGTGGCGAGCGCGCGGGACGTACTGCTGCGAGCGGCGCCACACTACTGCTGCCACAGCATGCTCTGCCGGAGGCTCAGCCGGTAGGCGCCGAGTGCAGTCTCGCGACGTGCAGGCTGATCCACCACGAAGCTCTTTTTATGAAAAAGCTGGAGCTATTTCGGGAGCGACGCAGGGCGCTGCACAGGTAGACGCAATGCAATCTGCTGCCTTTGTGTAAATCCGCCGCTTCTGGCTGAGAGTGACGAGTGCGGGCGGGCGAGGCGCGGGCGATGGCGGGCGAGGGCCGCCACACATCAGGAGGCACCAACGACGACTCAAGCTCGAGGGTGCGAAGCGCGGCGCCACCGTGCCACGTGCGCGCTTCGTCAGCACTGCCGACGGAGCCCGGGCCGCCCGAGGTCGTCGCTGCGGCCTCTGCCTCCCTCGTCTCGCGTGCCTCTCGCGCCTTCTCCCCTTCCCTCGCCACCTGAGGCGCCTGCCTACAACGGATACTCGCCCTCCCTCCGTTATGGCAAAAGGACCTTGACTGCATCCATCCAATTGACCGTATGGGAAAAAGGTCACGAGACAGCAGCACAGCGCCCTGCATTCAGACGGGCTTCCCAACAGCACATGCATCGCCCGCTCGGTTTAGATGCGAAATTTTGAACCATGCACGCAGAACGCTTCGCTCTGAATACCCTCATCATAATATTGCGCTCGGCAAACCAAAGCCACGATCTCCCTGGTACTCCACTTACTACACTTTCGCGTACCCGGAAACGGAGGATCGCGTGATAACAAACGTGACGAGACAATGATGCATTGTAACACGTGACGACCCTGAGCCGAGCGAGAACGGCCAAGACAATGATCTCGGCGTAACAATAACACCAATATGGACTATATCTCTCTCTGTGGATCTATCTTACTATAATTCTATCTCACGCTGTCTCTCCCTCTCTCTCCCTTCCCCCCTCCCTCCCTCTCTCTCCTTTCCCCCCTCCCCCTCCCACCTCTCTCTCTCTCTCTCTCTCTCTCTCTCTCTCTCTCTCTCTCTCTCTCTCTCTCTCTCTCCCTTCCCCCTCCCTCTCTCTGTCGTCCACTCATTTCGGTGCTACAGGGTCACTTCCAAAAATGTATATGCAGCACAATTCTTGCACCTGTATGCGAGCGATTATATTAGGAAGTAATAAATATACTTGACAAACGAGAGAAATATCCACTGACACGAATATGCATTCACAAATAGAGAAATATGTTATACGCACAAGTAACTATAGCACGAAGGGCGATCTATCTTACTTTCGAGACTTCTCGGTCCCTCCCCCCCCTTTCGCTATCGCTCGCTGGTCCTCCAAGGCCGCGCGAGGGCCGCCTCCTGCAGTCGCGCGAGAGACGTCGCCGGATTCGGACAGCGAAAGCGCTTGTCAGTCCGGGCTCTGCATTTCCTTCATTCCTGTGGTTAAATTTTGTCGTCGCCGCAAACGATTCATGGGCTGATATTTACACGGTTGCGAACACACAAGCGCATGCACAATTGCTTAGACGAAACATACCTGTGTGCATACACGTTTTTCATCTGCATAGTTATATTTAGATACAGAGATGTACTGACACACTTATTGTCTTTACTGTATGTATATGTACATATACATAATACACATACACACACACACACACACACACACTCTCACTAACACACTCACACTCACACATATACACACACACACATACACACACACACATACACACATACACACACACACACACAAACACGTCCGTGTGTGCGTGTGTGTGTGTGTGTGTATATATATATATATATATATATATATATATATATATATATATATATATATATATATATATATATATATATATATATATATATATATGCATATATATATATATATATATATATATATATATATATATATATATATATATAAATAAACACCAACGAGCTTATCCTCAGTGTCCTTAGTCCTCGGTGTCATCGTCCTTCAAACACCTTCCGGAATGAGTCAAAATGCCATCAAAACTGAAGCGCCACGCCCCCTCCCCCTCCCTTCCCCCCTCCAAGTCGAACGGTGAACTGAGCAAATAACAAAAAGTCTCCCGAAACCACAAGTTGGCAACCCGTCCCGAGGCGAGCGCAGGCACCCCCCCCCTTCTTCGCCTTCTGCTGCGAGGCGCTGACGCTCGTAAAGATTCCAACGGATTCGCCTCTCTCGTGTCTCGTGTGATTAACGCCCACGTTAAGATGTTCGAACATGAGGAGACTAGAACAAGAGAGAGAGAGAGAACGAATTCTTCTTTATTTCGTTATTTTATTATTATTATTTTTTTTATTCTTTGTCCGTTTGTTTTCATGTTTCTCTGAGATTCTCCTCTATCTTCGCGATCTCTGCGATTTACGAAATCCTCAGCTTTCTGTCCCTTATTCATTTTCCCATTTAAAAAAAATACCCTCTTGTTTCCCTTCTCTTATTCTTTTGTTTACATTTCTCCTCTTGGCCGTCCCTCTCTCCTTTCCCCTTCTCTTCTTTTCTTCTTCTTCTCTGTCTTTCTGCTCTCCGTCCGAAGATTTCCTCCCCGGATCTTCCTTCCTCCCCCCGCCCCCCCGTCTCCTTCCCACCTGCCACCCATCCTGCTGTCCAATCAACACGCCCATAAAACTATTGGTTCATCCTCCCACAAGCCTATCGGCGGATCGGGCACAGCACGCGGCGGTGCCACGAAGGGCGGGGAGGGAGGGGGGTTGGGGAGAGGAGGAGGGGGGGTATGGCACCTCCTCGTGCCCTTGATTGGCATGAGCACTTGGGCGCCGCCGCCGTACGCACGTACACTGGCATCTTGGCGACGGCGACCGGACTCTGCCCGGGGAGCTTGCATGACTTGTGCATGACATTCACTGGGGCTCTCTCGCTCGAGGGGCAGATACCTCCGGCGACTCATCCCGCGCACTCCAGCGGCGCCCCGAGGCTGGTTTCTCTCTTTCTGCGAAGCCCTTTGCGAGGCAATAGATCATCAACACCGTAGCTGATGAACTTCAGCTCCACCTCGATAAAAGTCTCGCATCTCAGAGATATTAAGATGTCACGTCAAGGCTTCCTTTGTAAAACCAAGTTAATAAACATGACAGACTCTCCTTCAAAAAAAGTAAAAAGGGGAAAAAAGGCACATCTAAGCGACGTCCTCTGCCGGGGGTGCCAAGTGTGCGCCATTTGTTTCTTGGCAGGAGCCAGCGACGTGCCAGCAGCGGAACCCATGAGTCTGGAGATAAATTATGCAGCGCTCGACTCACTCGACGCGAAAACACCAAGCGACCCGCAAACAACCTCCGACTGTCTTTATGCGTCTGTTGCGTTGAGCCAACCCCCCCTTCTGCGGCCGGGGTCCTCGGGCTCCACCTGCGAAGGTCAAGACGGGCCGACGCCGAGTCCCTGGCAGGCGAAAGGTCACACGCACCCGCGCCAAGAGAGCCGTGCACGCGCGAGAGGAACAACAGTTAAAGGCCGGGCGGATTTCTTCTCTCCGATCCCAGCGAGCAGCCAAGGGACACTGAGATCGTGTTTTCTGAACGAAAGCGGCGACAAAAGTGGCAAAAAACTCACTTCCGACACAGGAAAAGTCAAGGCGAGAGGACAGGGTAGAGGAGATGGGGGGTGGGGGGGTGAGGGAGCGAGGGCGGAGGGCGTGGGGTGCAGGCAATGAGGAGCAAGCAGGGACGCGGGCAAAGCAAACACTCGTGCAATAAAACGGGTTTATCCAGCATGGACAAGGCGTGCAAGCATTCACAATAGTTACGGTATAAGGCAAGGGATTTAAACGTGAGCCATGAGGGGGGGAGGGAGAGGGAGACGAAGAATTGAGGGAGGGAAGACGTTCGATTCGCGTGCCGTTGGGTTCGTGGCGAGCGCTCCCGAACCCTAATTTCAGGTCAACATAGGCTCACGCGCCTTCTCATTTATCCCGTTTTCTAAAAAAGGCTTTATAAGGGATGGCGCACAACAGATCTTCTTAGATTTCAATTAAAAAAGGGATGAACATATTTGATACTCAAGAGAAAGCTGGAAGTCACTGAGCAAAGACCTTGTGGTGGACTGGCCGGGGAAACTAGTCCATTTGGTTGACGACGAAAATGTCTGATGGCAGAAAAAAGGGTCCTGTCGACACAAAATAGATTCATCGAAATATTTGATTTGTACACTGCGAATTTATCTGCCGTTTCATCAACACAGTAAATCATTTGCCCTTTTTTTTTTTTAGAAATTTGTTCGTCGTCTGTCGAGCCCGTTTCAACGTCTGCAACTGACGGCTCTGGGCACTTCTGGTCTTCTTCCAGTATAAAGTGTCGAAGCCAGACGGAGCAAAGTGTCGGCGTGAGCGAGGCTTGATCAGCGTGGTCGTTTTGTCTACACCGATGCTGACCGTGCAATGTCAAGGCCAAGTCGCGCCAGTGTTATTGCAACGGAAAGGTTTCCTGAGGGAACGATGCGCGGAATGTGTTGCAGTATTGGGTTGTGTGTCGTTGCTCGTGGTGTAACGTTCATTGGCAGCGTCGTGCAACATGCGGGGAGTGCAACAAGTCATTTTCTGTGGAGACATGTGCAAGAAGAACGCGGGGGCGACGTGGGAACGCGGCCCGACCTGCGCCGCAGACAAGACCACGTGTCGGGAAAGCAGACGCGGTGATTGATCGGCTAGACTCGCATCCAATCGATCGATTAGACTCAAACTTCGACGAGACTCAAAGCGTATGCTACCAGTTAGAATCACAAACAAAACTGTAAACTCACTTTCCCAAACTTGCCGCCATCACGACACGTCGCACAAACACACTAAACACTAAAATAAGT